TATTACAGTTACAATTTAATTTGATATATATATATATCATGTAACTATCAATTATTTCATTTGATTTACTTACAATTAAACTTTCTTTGACTAGTGCTTCTGCGAATGCAGCCCCTATTCCAGAGCTGGCCCCTGTCACGACGGCGACTTTTCCTACCCAACGTTCCATTTTTTTGATAACGTGATCGAGAGTAACCAACACGATATATAAAAACAGTTCAAGTGTTCACAATTTGAATGTCCTTCCATTTGTAGATACTACATAGATATAGATATATAAATGATAAAATGTAGTAATGACAAAATTACTATATATAGGTAGGTAATGCAGTTTCATTTCCGTTATGATTCACAATTTTTTTTTTGGTACATAGAGGTAATGAAGGCAAAAAATTAAATGTTTATGCATTTTTGCCACCTGCTACTAAACATTACCTACTAAAAATCTACAGATAAAATCTTCTTTTGTTGGTCGTCCAGTGCTGGGAGTAGACCAAATAAATTTTTAAGCGCATTGCTGTGTTCTTTATGTATAATATTAAGCTGGGCCACACGAGACAGTTCTGGCATTAATTCGGAAGCCCGTACCGGTTCCACTACATCCAAATTTACTAGATAAAGCCAAGAATTTAGACAGATCGGCGAGCTGCAGTCAATTCAGCTAAGTAATATGCATTAACCCCATCTCTTGAATTACTAAAGTATATATACGGAATACGGAAGTCAACCACTTCCCCTATAACATGAGGTGCCTATGTTTGTTATAATTTTTTTCTGTTTGAAACCTCTAAAAAATTATTGTATTGCACTATATTATCCACCATGTGCAATTATTAATTAACTAATTAATTGAAAAGGTGAAAAATAATGATTTGGCTAGTTTAAAATAACGTTTATTTTAAAATTATCTAGTACATCGACCCTTAAATTAATATAAATTGTCTACCAAGCTTCACCTACTGGAGAAATTGATAATTCCTGGATCTGCAAAATAACAAAACAAAAAATCATTGGCATTCAACTAAATGATATTTATTAAAATACACCATAAAATGGTTGTCGAATGTTCGAAGTTTTATTATATATGAATAACGTTTAAACACTCACTTGAACATGAGGTGGGGTACTTAGGACGTACAAAACGCCGTTTGCTATATCTTCCGGGTTTAAAGTTGGAAAATCGGCTAAGGGCATGTTGGGGTCCATTTTAATACCGGCTGCTTCAGCAAGTTCAGTTTTCACGGAACCCGGACTTAGACTCTAAAAAACGTATTAGAAGGTACGGCATATACAGGATGTTTAATTATTATACAGTTCGTTAAACTTCTTAAAAGCGAAAAATATAAATTCCACCCTGTATCTACATTTCAGTAACTTCCGTCCGATTTATACGTTACATACAATGCGCTTTAATAACGATTGCGTACATAGTAACTAAGCATTATGTATATTTACTACATTGTGAGATAATTTGATAAATTCATCACTTTTCTATTATACCCCTTCTGAGATTACGATATTTTTGCCTAATTTCAAAAAATAAATCTGAATTACACTTCATTAGAAAATGTCCTCCATCCCCTTAAATAACTTTATCTAGCCCTGCAATGTAAAACAAACTGAGAATTGTTATGTTTTAATACTTTATGCAAGTCTTACTGTAGATATTTTGTAAAATAGCTAGATTATTTGATTAATTCTCTCCCAGTAATTACTTACATTATATAAATTGGTAATAACATTTAGTAAGTTAAAACAAAACTTTATTTTAGTTACTCAATTGTTTGTTTCAATAGGAAAAG